TGATATTGATATGAGGCTTAGGGCCTAATGGATGCCACGAGATGGCTTGATATTGCGCTTGGGCCGTAAGGGGCCCCTCCCGGAGTCTGCACACCCCCAGTGAGCGCCGTCGACGATAAATAAATGGAGCGGGCTGCACGCCGCAGCGGGTACTAGAGAGTACCGTACTATTTGTTGCATTTCTTAATTGATTGTCATTCATTTACTTATCTGTTGCAACATCATTATTTTCATTGGTTTATTGAGGTATTATTATCTGGATTAAACTGCTGTAATTATAGCTTACATTGTGCCTATCCAGGATTTCTTACTCTCAACCCTTATTTACGTTTATTACTCTCTGGGTTGGAAGTACTCACATTACTCTCTGCACCTTGTGTGCAGATCTAGGTGCAACCAGTGAGGCTGAGTGAGGACTTCTCTGCCGAGCATCATATCTGGGAACATCAAGGTAGTTGCATGACGTCCGCAGTCCTGATCTTCCCATCTAACCTATTTGCTTTTTTTTCGCATTTCTTTAGATCAATATGTAGTAGGTTGACACCTGTGTATTAGAGGCTCAGACTTGTGACACCGGATTCTTCGGGCTGTGTAGTAGTAGTATTTCTACTTGGATTTTCCGCATGTTTTAACTATATTTCAGAGTTTCAGTATTATGACTTAGTAATTATTTGTGTTAATTGAATCATGAACTGCATAAAAAGGGTTAAGGTTGTTAAATTGGTCGGGCTTGCCTAGCAGTGTGCTGGGTGCCATCACGATCGGGGTTGGGGTCGTGACAAGTTGGTATCAGAGCCTAGGTTACTTGGTCTCGCGAGTCATGAGCCGGTTTAGTAGAGTCTCGTGGATCGGTACGGAGACGTCTGTACTTATCCTCGAGAGGCTGCAGAACCTTTAGGAAAACTTCACATTCTTGAATTCTTATCGTGCGTCCTTGATTCAGCTTGAAAAGAAACTCTTGAAATTCCTTCCACGTGTTCGTACGCGCGCATGAGTGCTCAGTATCAGATGTGCCTTGATGGCTTGTGATTCCCCGATCGAGGGGCGAGATGTAATCTCTGTGAGTTTATATTGGGCCAGTCTGGAGGACTTGAGGCCGGATCTTTTACTATGGCTTGAGCACCGAGGTGTTGATTGTGTGAGCAAGTGTTTCGAACTTATATGTTCGGCATTGCCCCTATTAGTGGGAGTGACGGCTGGTTAGCTACGTGGTGAGTATGTTAGTGCTGCAAGGTGCATCTATGTGACTTGGAGGTGATGAGGAAGACCTATTGGATGATAGAAGAACTGTTAGGTGTTTGAATTCCATTGCGATTCGAGGTATAGCCCGAGTTATGGGCGCGTGAAAAAAATCTTTTCATGTTTCCAGTTGAGAGTGAAGTAAAAATTTTATGTTGCGGTATGAGTTCAGACTCAGGAAGACTAAGCGACTGCGTACAGTTTAGGACGGTGGAAGGTATACAGAAATGGTAGTTGGAGGCAAAGCAGGTGGGTCATCTCCTGCGGAGTGTTCTAAAGTTGTGTGATCCTTATGTTATCTATTAGAAGATCTCATTTACAAGTGAAGAAAATGTGTTGACATCTAAATTGGATCGCCGAGAGAGTGGGCTTAACTGTTGTGTGAGTGAATGCGAGATTTGCAGAAGAGTTAAAAAAAATATTCTAGATGATTTGTGTTTCCACAAGCTTATGAAGGATTGAGTTTAATCTCACTATGGTATTAAGGCAGCAATGGAGTATATGCGTTATGAGTTGTTGGGAGTGTTTTGATCTATGGCTTCGAGCCAAGTTGGTGAGTTTGCTATTGATTAGTTAATTGTACGGTTATGTGCTATGTTGGTTCCGATTTGAGGCATGCTGGCGAATCAGTTCTGGTTGCGGAAATTGAGCCGAGGATGGCATGAGTGAAGCAAAATTTTGACAAAGGTTATATGGTGCTTCGTAGATGTGTGAGAATCACAGGATGTCTTAAGCTGTTATTGGTAAAGAATGCTCGGTGCATGGAGCAGGAAGATGTTTGTTTNCTTAGCTGACCTCGAGGTCCCTGGGACAACCGAGCTCGAGGCCCCTATTGCTCCAGCAACACTGATTTGGTTCACCTTATCTTCTTACTTAAACTTAATATTACTTGTATAATCACTAGTATTAGAATATATCACATATCTTTAAAACCACAAACTATCTTTAATTGTTACTTACATTTTCCGAGGTAAACAAAAGTCAGTCGCCACATAGAGTTTAGGTTAGAAGCTTTAATTTGTTCAATTTTAATCTCTCTTTTTTTTTTCTAAGAGTAAATGTCTCTTTTCAGGTGAACCAAACCCAACAAATATGTGTTAAGAAATTTATATAGGTAGAAATGAGCAAGAAAAATAAATTATCGTAGCTGACTTTTTGTGGCATAGTTAATTTATTAGAATTTGAAAGGAACTCTGATGTTCATAGAAAATTGAATAGTAGCTCAGTGTTATAACTACTATATTTATATCCTACTCCCTCCGTCTCATATTTATAACTTTTCGTTTCTCGAGATTCAAATCATATAAACTATGACCAATATTAAAATATATTTTTCAATGAAGAGAATTATAACTCATAGTACTTCTCGTAAAGTTTTTGAATCCCTAAATTTTTATTTTAAAAATATATTAATATAATATAATTTAGCTTCAAAGATTTGTCTAACTTGACTCTCAAAAAGAAAAAGCAACAGTAATTTTGGAAAAAAGGTTGTACATATATTCATCTGGAGTATTTATTGTTCAACTCTTTACCAAATTAAAAAATAAATAAATAAAAAGCAAAAAAGAGGCGAATTTATAAGGGACATGATACATAAATGATGGAGAGAATAAAGAGTAACGTGATTGTTTGACTTTATAGATTTTGACTTTTGAGTTCCATATCGTCATTGCTGTTACTTAAGCAGATTAGTTGTCTTCAGATTTTATGGTCTTTATTATACGTAGAATTTAATGCCCACCCAAAAAAAATATTATGGTCAGCCAAAACCACAAATAATTCACGTTACTTATTTTACGTAAATATCTTCCCTCCTAACTACGTATAATAAAGGGGTATTATCACTTTTAGCCAGTGCCATAAACTATTTACATTCAGTAGCCGAAAAAATATGTAAAATTTGTATAATTTTTGTATGTATATATATGTATACTTTTTTCGGCTATTATTTAAGAACGGCTATACGACGTCGTTTTATTCATATAATTAAAGACCACAAAACTATGAATCTATGATCTTTATTGTACGTAAATATCTTCCTAACTACGAAGACAAATGCTTGCTTCAATTTTAAACTTTTTGCTTTTACTTTTTTTCTATTTGACCTTAATATGTAAGTCATGAACTACCGCAACTAATTATGGAAAGTTTAACCTTCCGGAGATACTAATGAATTGTCTTTTCTTGTTTTTCTTATTTCCATCTTTCTGAGCCGAGGGTCTATCGGAAACAGTCTCTCTGCCCTATCGGGGTAGGGGTAAGGTCTGCGTACACATTACCCTCCCCAGACCCCACTTGGTGGAATTTTACTGGGTAGTTGTTGTTGTTAACTTTGAAATGAACTATTAAAACTTTATGACAAAATTACTTTTTTTTTTAAAAATATGTGTTCTGATGGATTGGTCGCTTGAGATTGTTTGATTCTGTCATGAGTCGATATCTAAATATATCGGTCCTCCGGTATGAAACTAATCGTGATGAGCGAAGGTGGTAATAGGAAATGAAGTAAACCTAAATTCATAGTATGAAATAAAGTTATCTCGAAAGACCTATAATCTCTTGAAATTCATGCAAATTTAATGAAAAAATATGATACACGTTTCTATATTTTGAATTTTCCGTTAAATTTGAACGGCATATTTACCCTTAATAATAAAATATTTATAGCAAATAAATTATCACGGCGCGTTTAAGATCATAAATCTAAAATCACTTCTACGTATGAGACGAAAGTCTTTCTTTTGTAAATACAACGTCAATTAATAAAAATGTCCTATAAAATACGGTTGATGAAGTAATAAATATGAAAATTGACAAGCCACTAGTAGTTCACATTCCATGCACTTTATGATCCACCGAAGTAAAAGTTGGATTATTTTGACATTGAAATACCACAAATCCCCCTTCACCCACAAGTAGATGTCAGTCACTATTTCAAAAAATTTATAACTTAATCGCGCCGAGGATCTATCGGAAACAATCTTTCTACTTTTTCGGATAGGGATAAAGTCTCCGTACACACTATCTTCCCAGACCCTGCTATTGAAATTTCACTTGGTTGTTGTTGTTTTCTTGTAGATTTACACGGGGCGGAGCCAGAGTGTCCGATGCGAGTTCGGCTGAACCCAATAATTTTGTTCAAACCTTGTATTTGTATGAAAAAATTCATTAAATATGTACAATTTATTAATGTAGAACCCAGTAACTTAATAGGATTAGAATCCCGAACCCACAAACTTAAAATCCTGGCTCCGCCTCTGGATTTACATAGAGGCGGAACTAAGATTTAAAGTTTATATGTTCAAAATTATAGTCCTTCTAAATTATCGGGTTTTAAATTAATAATTTGTATACCGTTCAATAAATTTCTTAAGACAAAAATAATATTGAACTAAAGTTATTAAGTTTGGTATAACCCGCAATCAAAAGGCTAGTTCGCCCTGGATCTACATTTATTTTAATTCCTATGGTGTACCAATATTTAAACATTATATCTCTCCTATCAATAAATATATTACAAAAATAATTCTCTTACAAACCATGCACTATATTTATATACAAAACATTATATATTCATTTTCTTTTCTTCGAGATCTTCATGATCTTTCACAAAAAATATTAGATCTTTATTCATTTGGTCTTATACTTACCCAATCATAATATATACCATAGGCTAGCTTTTGCTCTTATTTATACCCTCGTCTTTATACCAAACAAAAACGCAAATTTTCTGATATTTTGTTCATGCAAAAAATTTCATGGAAATAGTTAACTCAGTAACTCGTTTGAAGGTAACTCATATTTTCTTGATTTCCATTTTTTTCACAAATTTTTACTGGTTTAATATTGGAGCTGAATCTCCCAAAGAGCTTTTCAAAGGATTTAAAGCAACCCCAGATTCTCATATTTCAAATTTTCAACCTCTACTTACTGATTCTACTGGTAATTACTCACTGAGTTTTCTCCGAGTTGAAAAAGATCAACTCACTCTTTCTATTATTCATGTTCCATCTTCTGAGTCAATATGGGTTGCTAACTTGACCCGTTTAGCAAGATGGGCTGACTCGACTGAGTTGTTCTTCAATGGCAGTCTTGTGTTGTCGGATTCTCGTTTAGGGGTATTTTGGTCTACTCATACTAATGGACACCGTGTTTGGCTTTCAAATACATCAAATTTGCAAGTTCAAAAGGTTGATAGTGGAATGAGGTTAAGTTCTGTTTTGTGGCAAAGTTTTGATTTTCCCTCAGATACCCTTGTGGAAAATCAAAATTTTACAAGTAAAATGACTTTGGTTTCGTCCAATGGGCTTTATTCCATGAGTTTGGGCTTTGATTTTTTCGGGTTGTATGCAAAATTCAAGAACGAATCGGGTCCGGGTCCGGGTCGGATCTATTGGAAGCACAAGGCATTAGAAGCTAAAGCAGATGTTATTGAAGGTCAAGGACCAATTTATGCTGTATTAAAGTCAGATGGTTTTTTTGGTATGTACCAAAATGAGTCAGTTCCTGTTGATGTAGAATCTTTTAACAGTTTTCAACAACCCGTATCCGGTGTTCGTCGGATCCGGGTCGAACCGGATGGGAATTTGAAAGGATATTTTTGGGCCGGGTCAAGTTGGATATTGGACTACCAAGCAATAAAGGAGACATGTGAATTGCCTAATCCTTGTGGTATATATGGACTTTGTCGACCGGGCAAAGGTTGTTCTTGTCTAGACAATAGCACGGATTACAACTCCGGCAAGTGTGTCTCGCCGGAAAATCAAGATTCCGGCGACTTTTGTGGGGTTTATGATCATAAAAAGTACAAGGGCTTTTCAAGAAATGGTGTTGAATTGCCTAACAAGGAGTTAATGACTTACCAAAAAATGGCTTCTTTTCAAGAATGTCAAAGTACATGTGAAGGAAATTGTACATGTTGGGGTGTGGTGTATACTAATACATCTGGATTTTGCTACATACTAGACTACCCCATACAAAGTTTAGTAGGAGTAGGGGATGAAACCAAAATGGGGTTTTTCAAAGTGAGGGAAGGTGTTGGGAAAGATAAGGTGGAGGTGGGGTTAGGGATAGGGATAGGGTTATTATGTGGGGCCATCTTGGTATTTGGTGGGGTCATAGGGTTAGGGTTGTATAGATATAGGAAAAGAAAAAGAGGAGTGAGTGGGTATGTAGAAGAAGATGGAATGGTAGTTGGACCATATAAGGAAATGGGAAATGCAAGTTTTAGGTCAATTGAACTAAGTGAAAGATGAGGTAAGGGATGACATCTTTTAAGATAGAGACCTCATCATCATACTATATTTTTACAATATATGGTGGAAGTGGGGCCCATTTTGGGTTTTGGCAAGTGGGGCCTACTACTTCTCATGTGTGAAAGTGCTTATAAAATGGACATTATCTTATCACAAGGGTGGAAATTGGTGGTCCAAGGACAAAAAGATTGGCTATATTTGCAAAAGATATGATATTATATCCTTGTAATTGCAAAGTGGATGTTCTTTTTTCCTAGTTGTTACATGGTTTAGTAGTTAATAGAAAATGACAGACATTGTAAATTGTATTTCTTTTGACTCTTATCTACACGACCAAGGTCACCAAATTTCATTGTAGCTTTGTGACTTTTGTAAGAAAATCAGAGTGATTTCATGAATTCAAATTTTATCCTCACATAACTTATATTCCATAATTTCATAGTTCTTTCTTCCCTGGAATCATAAGCGAATCCAAAATTTAATTCTACGGGTTAAAGATTTCGGTTTCGATTAAAATCAATTATGTTGTTTGAGTTATGAGTTCATTGCTCAATTTTTCAGCAATTTTATTAAATTTTATACTGAAAATTCTATGTTTAGGATAAAAGGACACATAAATGAGCTATTGAATCCGCCCTTGCCTCGAAATATGTCACCTTTGTCACATTATTGTCTTTTATTCAAACTCTTCTGTAGATTAGCGTCAGAGTAATATATAAGACTTTAATACTCTCATATTTCATTTTTGTGATATTTTTTCTTTGTAGTATGTTTCAAAGAGAATAATATCTCTTTTATATTCGAATTCTTTAATTTTAAATGTTACCTTTAATAACATATTCTTACGTCACAATTTTTTTTTTATTTTACCTTTAATAACATGTTTTTATTCACAGAAGGTCATGACATATTTAAAACTACAAGTTTTAAGAGAACTTTTGATATATGGCAAAAAATCTCTTTTCTTTTGAATTTTGGATATGCATGATGTTGAGAGAATTGATTTCAGAAATTACATTGTTCTATAATTAACAGAAAAAAACATAAATATTGACAACTCAAGATAGAATATACGAAAAAAATGTGGAAGGAATAGAGGAAAACACTCCCCCTACACACACACACACATATATATACACTCAACCACTTAAACTAGTTAAAATAGAACGGGCTAGCCAGTTTTCGAACTGGTCATTGAAAAATAGCTAGCTTTTGCAAAGTCATTGAAAAATAGCTACTATGTTGCTACAACACGGAAAGTTCCAGCATAATATACTGGAGATTGGTGCACCTGTGTATAAACTTCCAGCATATTATGCTGGAACTCCAGCACACGAAAACTTCCAGCATAATATACTGGAGATTGGAGCACCTGTGAACTTCCAGCATATTATGCTGGAGTAGTATATTATACTGGAACTCTAATATATTATACTGGAAGTCTAGTATATTATACTGGAACTCCAATATAATATGCTGAAATATTTTTCGAATTTTAAATAGTATTTTCGTTTAGATTTATCTTTATATAAAAAGTGACTAAATTTCGATTACTTTCGAAAATGTGGCTATTTTTCAATTACCACTTGTAAATTTGACTATTTTTGAATTTCACCTCTTAAACTAAAATAGCCGAGAATATATATGTGTTATCACTTTTAGCCCGCGCCAGAAACTATTTACATCTGGTAGCCGAAAAAGTGCATAAATTTGTATAATTTTGTATATAACATACATTATAATTTTTTATATAACATAAAGAATATATAAATATATAATATTTTTATACACTTTTTTTTTATTATTTTTAGAGCGACTGTATAGTGTCATTTTTCCTTAATTATTAATTCTTAATATATATTGTCAGCCCACATTTAAGTTGGACTCTCAAAAAGCCTTGGGCTTGACATTAAGTAAACACGATACAATCCCACCGTTCCAAGTCCAATAAAACTTGGCCCCATTAGTGCACACGTGTCCATCAGCAGTCATCTTCCTCTGCTTACTGTGACTACTAGTAACAAGTTTATGATCTCACTTTAAAATATACAGTAAAAAGAGCTCAAATTGTCAAGAATCTGCAATTTCAGTTATGGTAAAGTTGAGTTTTCTTCTTTTCTTATTCTAATAATTTGCTTTACACTAATTATTATACTTGAGTTAAAGTGTTGCATGTTAATTCAAGATGTAATATTTTGGTGGAATTCAAATTGAAACTATGGTTTTCTTGACAATATGCATACAAATTGTTGTTTGGTTTGTATTTTGTATAGTTCAATGGCTCTCTCATTGCAGTATAGATTGCCAAGTATGGTAGTTTTATAGATGTACTCTTACTGTTTTTCCTTTTCCTCTTGGAGAAGAGGGGTGAAAGGAAGGAAAAGCTGAATAATAAATTTAACTTTCCTTGTAATAAGCATAAGAAAACCTCTTTAAAGAGGAGTAAAAACCTATGTTGCCGGACTCTCTAAAAGTGCTGCCGCACCCGTGTCGGATCCTCCAAAAATGCACTAAATTTTGGAGGATCCGATACGCAACCAACAATATTTTCGTAGAGTCCGAGTAACATAGGTAAAAACCAGAGAAGTCCCATCAAGAACTCCTATATATCTAGTGGCGGAGCCAGGACTTTTACTAGGGGGATCCAAAATATAAAGAATGTAAATACACGAGTAAGTCAAAGGGATTCAACAATCTAATATATATATACATAAAATTTAATTCTCACCTTATGTATATAGTTTAACTTTCCAGCAAAGGGAATTAGGATGAACCCCTTCCGTCACCCTAGCTCCGCCCATGCCGGTATATCAAAAGAGAGTTAAAAAAGTTAAGAGGATTCAACATCTACTATATATACATAATAAATAATTTTCACCTTGTATATAAAGTGTAATTTTCTGGGGTTCGGATGAACCTACTTCCGCCACCCTAGCTCCGCCCATGCGTATATCAAAGGAGAGTTAATGAAAGTCCTTTAAAATGGTCACTAAGTGTCTGAACAAGGAGAAACAATAGCAATAAGAGCAACAACAAAGCAAGTGAAGAATTAGAAAGAATCACCTAAAACGAGCTAGAAGGTTACAGTATATTTGTAAATCGAGCTTCAATGCTTCCTCAAGCTATATAACATCTACCTTGAATCTCTAATACTATAGTTCATGCGTAGCTATTATTTCCTATTGGTGAAACTGAGATTTCATTCTTATGCTAGCCTTTTTCATTCCATGTCTTCATCTTTTTCCATTTTCTTCCTTTTTCCGTCTTTCCATCTCTGACATCTGAATTGAATTTTATGGCTTGATTTTAGTGGATAGTTACGAGTAGACGATAAAATATCCAATGGTTAGCACTAGAGGTCATTGTCATAGATGCATTTGGGACAGTGGAATAATCATTTATCAACCATTGAATGGATGAAAATTCCGAATAAATGAGGTACCACGGCTGAAATCATTTATCTACTGCGGAATTTCAGAATTTGGAAGATTAAATAAATGGTTATTGCAAGAGCCACTTTGTCATATGGATAATAAGGAAATTTCTTTTCTATGTCAGTTTAATCTAAGATCATAGGTTACTAATTAATTCACAATGCTATTAAGGAAATAACCAGGTCAGTTTCTGTTTTTTGTTCTTTTTGAGACATGCATATAATATCAGTCTTGGTTAAACTGCTTTCAGCATATGTTTCCTTGTTTTCATCTAGAAGTTAATCATACTAATAATTTAAAGAAGTCAAATTACCGGTTCACATCTGCAGGTTTTTCCCTGAGGTGTTTACAATCTTTTTCGTCTTAACTTGCTCCAGCAGAGAAAAACATAGAAATGGGAAAAGATAAAGTAGGAAGCTTCGGTACTGAAGTTTGCCGGTCAAATAAAAGGTTGGCCGAGAAAAAGCAGGAGTCGAACAGAAAGCTAATTTTTGATGAGATATTTGTTTGTATTCCTGGATCGCCATCTAATTATATATTAGGCCCGTGTTTTAAGACTACACTTCCTCCGGAGCTCTCTCCTCTTTACCCCTTAGCTGAAGGAGAAAAGCTACTTCTACACTGCGTGCAACCTGATTCGTTCAAAGGTAAGACTCTGAGGTCGTGGCCTAATGTAAGTAGAACATGGATCGATTGGGTAGATAGAGTTGAGAAGGCAAAATGGGAGGTGTGGAAATCAGCTGATATATATGATGCTATTCAGTTGTCGAAAATTGATATACCAATGGATAAGAATCTTCTTTATGCTGCCTTGTGCTATTGGTCAATCTCGACAAACTCGTTCCACTTCAGATTTGGTATGATGGGGCCAACAGTACTAGATATTGTTGCCTTGACTGGACTTAGGCCGCATGGTGAGGAAGTAAGTATCCCTCTCGGAAATTCTGAATCAACTCGTGATGTTCCCGAGTATGGAAAAATTAAAGAATGCTTAACTTACTGCAAATTTCTCGATGTGTCAATGGGAGCGATGGCTGTGACAGAGGAAGAACATATATCGTTTCTGGTTATGTGGCTTTGTAGATATCTGTTATGTAATTCTTCGATTACCATGATTGAGCAATGTACGAAACTGGCTTTTGCTCTTGCTATGGGTAAAAAGCTTGCTTTGGCACCTTTTGTGTTGTCTAATTTATATCATGGCTGTCATGACATCATTACGGGTAAGTTTGACGATGCAGCAGGTCCTTTCTGGATCTTGCAGTTATGGCTACAGTCTTACTTTCCCGAACATCAACCTTCGACTTCAGATAACGGTAATGCTCCGACCTATGGGTTTCCCTTGGCTGAAGGTGTGTTGAGGCCTAAAACAATTAACCATTACTTTCTTTTCTTTCATAAATGCTCATTTAGAACAGCCAGCCAATTCACGCCGTTTTCTTCTCGGAAGTTTGGACCTGAGTGGTTTAAGAGGTCACTTGATCCTTACTTCCAGAAACTTAACAGGACAGAGTTAAGAGAGATTTGGGCTAGTTATCTTATTGCTCGAGACCTCCCGTATAGTATTGTTCTAGACGAATCTTCGAAGTGGAAATGTGGGGTAGAACATTATTCTCCGAATCAGTTTGCTCGACAGTTTGGCATGAAACAAGCTGTTCCCCTCCACCGATCAGCCAATGATTTTTCAATCAGAGGAGAGGAAGATAACGTCGAAGAAACAGAATCAAGGTTTTCGCAACTAAAAAGGAAATTCTCATTTGTTCCATTTAATATTAATCCAAGTTCTAGAACGTTCTTTGATTCCTGGTGGTCCACTTATATTAAGAATCGGGACAAGACTGCTATCGATGTCCTCAGGAAGATCTCGCCGTGTGATATGCCTCTCAGTCCATCTGACAGGCAACAAGTTGCTGCTCCGAAGTCCATTGGTATTAAAGGTGATTCTCAGTCTGCAGGAAAATTTGGCCAGAATATGAAGAGAAACTATAAAGGTACGACACCCTTCTTGATGGAACGAATCATAATTTTTCTAGTTGGCTCGTATCCCTAGGAATAGAGGAATCATTGGCATTTGACTCGCCATTAAATATATGTAACCATTATGATCGGGCTTGCAATACAATGGTTTTCAATACAATGGCCTGTACATATACCATTATATTAGATTTTCGGATAGTTTTCAATGTTCTCCTGGAAGGAGCCTTGCCGTAACTGGTAAAGTTGCCTCCATGTGACCAGGAGGTCAGGAGGTCATGGGTTCGAGCCATGGAAATAGCCTCTTGCAGAAATGCGGGGTAAGGCTGTGTACATAGAGCCTTATGGTCCGGCCCTTCCCCGGACTTAGTGCACCAGGCTGCCCTTTTTCAATGTTCTGCAACTTGTTTTTTCTACCTTTGGTTTCCATTTTCTGCATTTTGATATCTAGTACTGCCTCCTTATTCTTGCCTTTCAGGGGATAATATTCCATCACAATCCTTTGTACAACAAGACAAGTACAGACAACAAAGAAACTCGTATGAGGCGGCTGAAAAGATATCTACAAGAGGAATATCATGCAAGGTAAAAGTTCCCATGCATCCCCTAAACAGGCCTCTGGGATTGTAAGGGGATTGCTTGGCCTGATTCCTTCACTTCGCTGTTGCTTTACCCGTTTCAGAAGATGAAGACTTCCGCAATGAAAACGCCGCTGCCAGGGATAACTTCAAGTTGTACTCCAGCGGATGAAGATAGGAGTAAGACCGACGTGCAAGTTTCTGGTGATGCTACATCGATCTCCACCTCGTCCTCCACTTCGGAAAATGTACGTAAATTCTCCTTATTACTTGTGTCATTATGTTTGATTTACTCCATCTAAGTTTGAGAGCTTTTTCTTTTCAGGAAGGCGAAAAATGCACGATTTCCCCATTATTAGCTAAGACCAGAAGCAAGACATATGACAATAGTGAACCACTCGACAATCCTGTGGATATTGATAATCTAGAAGACTTCTTTACTCAAGTTAGTGGACAAATTAAACGAGCTCGATCTATCAGTTTTTCGACTGGCCAATCTTCTTCCATATATAACAATATATCTGCCTCAGAAAAGTCTACAGCGTCAGTGGAAATGCTCGCCACAGCAAAGAATGACATTGACAGATTACTAAACATGCCTTCTCAAGACTTGCTTCTACCTGAAAACTGTTCAACATTAAGTGCAGCACTGTCAATATATGCTTTGTCACCAGATTTATCGGTTGAGAGAGCGCTTTCCTTGGAGAAACTCAAAGAGAACCTTCCACATCTTTCCTCAACCTGGCGTAGAGCTAAGAAGGACAAAGAGGAGTATTATAAGAAGGCTGCCAAGAAAGTGATCATCGTCGATGACCTCTCAAAAGGTCAGGAACTCTACACCAACCTCAAAGATTACAACGACAAGCTTGAACGTACAATGGATTCCATCAGAAACCAAATGAGTAAGTTGAAGGCAAGATTGAAGGATGCAAAGACAAAAAGAAAAGCAATCCAGGAGCAAAAATTGAGTTTGGCTAAGAAATGTTTTGAAAAGTCTACTACTCTTGATGAAATGGAAGCTGAGTATTCTGTTTTGGAGGAGATGAAGGAGCTAGCTGATTCGGATATTGCCCGAGTTGAAGAAAGCTTGAAAGTCTTCAAAAGCAAGATAACCGAATCGCCTGTGTAAATCGCCCTTCCTATGATTTTGCCAGCTAGTAATCCAGAGTATAAGAGCATGTAAATATCTTTTTTGCGACGTACTTTCTCTCTTTTGAATGGCATCCCTAAGTATAGCCAAGTTGGTCAAACTTGTAAAGTGAACGAGTAGTGTCGATCCATGACGATGTACTGGAGTTTTTGCAGAGTTGACAAAGCCATCAAGATCTGGAGAATGATCCGAGCTACTATCTGTTGGTGTATATGGAACGAAAGGAACCGCAGGTGTTTTGATGGAATTTCAACTCCAACTCACACTTTGAAGGCCTTTTGCTTAGTTAACCTTTACAGTTGGAGTTTTCTTGAACTTGTATTTAGTCCAGCTAATTTTTTGGCTCCCTGAACTTTAAGTGATCATTTTTCATGGAGCTGACATTATCATCTCTTTTTTACTCCTTTTTGCATCTACTTGATGCCATTTAATGATAGTTTACTTGCTAGGAGGTCACGGGTTCGAGCCATGGAAACAGCCTCTTGCAGAAATGCCGGGTGCATACATAGATTCTTGTGGTCCGACCCTTCTTCGGACCCCGTGCATAACTGGAGCTTAGTGCACCAGACTTACTTCATCAACAATAAAGTGCAGATAAACTTCCCAGACATAAGTAGTTTGGGTTAAAATTACTGGGTTCCGTCGAACCCATATCTTAAAGCCTACATTTGTCCTTGCCAGACATGGTTTCTGGTGGCATAGGTTAACAAACATGGATGACCAGGTAAAATGTAGGGGATTTGCTGGTTAGTTGAACTCATTACTTTCGGCTCGAACAATGTGTATATGCATTAAAATGTATATGTATTTGATCATGCTCAGGGACGAAGCTAGAATTTCAATCCTACAGGTTCTGAATTTTGGAACGATAACTTTAAGTACATTAATAATTGGGTTTTAAACTTAATATTTGTACATATTTAATGAATTTTTTTAAAATCAAATACACTGTTTGACCAAAAAATACTTGGTTCGTCTCAACCTGTAGCCAAGCTACTAGCTTCGCCCTGATCATGCTCATTAAACTCACTGACTTTAGAATTCCCCTCTTGTTAATAAAAAAATATATTATATAAGAGGAACTTACTATTATAAGCAGGTAGAAAATAAGAGCTAGAGCGAATGAAAATTCTAATACCATCATAGAGTTTGACATACTATATGATGATATTACGTTATGTATTACTAAAAAGGTGATAAAATAAAATTAAATAATCTACATAATCAAGGTTGAATTTTTCCCCTTGTATCACATTGATTGATATGAGTTGAGGTTAAATCAAGAAGCCGACTTTAATGTGTTTGAGATTGAGGCGTCAGGCGTAATTATTATTGTTGTTGTTGTTTATCATGTTGATGCGGAATTGAGCAACTTATTGGCATGCATGAATGTCACACATTTCTTTATGCAAGTACTTTATTGTTATGATCGTTGATAAATATGCTTTTATTTTTCCTCATTCTTGATTCATGTTTTAGATTTGCTTATAATTACATATAAATTTCTTTTAAAAAAATTAGCTTCTCATTTATAATTTTATAATAGCGATTGAATTATTGAAAAAAAAATTCTCCTTTAATGGTAACCCCTTATATAATCAACAAAAATGTCAATTTCCTTGACAGTCAACATAAATTGCGTTTAAATGAGACTTATAAAGTACATAATGAGACTTTGACTTTAATTGTATTTATGGAATAAGCATTTAAGGAATACCACTTATAATGCGTAGAACAACAAATTCAATTGCGACTTATAAATCACATATATTTTAAAGCGCCTATACGACTTACAAATTACAAATCAACTCATAAATCTCCTTTCACAATTTGTTTTGCTATTTTTATTATATTGTATGGTGTGGTCTATGAAAAAGAGTATATTTGTTTTTGTTTTGTTTTGTAGGTATTGAATCAAACACCATCTTCATCACTTGAAAAAGTAAGCTGGAATGAAGTAATTCAAATGGTTAAACAGCTTTATAATCAAGCCACAATAGGGTTTTTTTCTTCTTTTATACTAGTATCCGTACCGGCGCGTTGCACGGAAAATGTAAAATATAACATTTTAAAAGAAAATATTATTTGGAAATACGGTACATGAAAAGGAAACACATTAATACATTCAAGTCATATGGAAATAGACTTCTCCCTTATACATACAGCTAGTGTGAAAAGGACCTAGAAGCTTTCTTGTGCACCATAGGCAATGGCAGCACCTATAAGCTTAATAATAATACGCATAACATTCAGCTCATAAATTGTAGAAGCGAAAATTATAAATAGGGAGGTAAATAAGCACATTCAGATCTGCTTTTTATTGGCCACAAGTAATAACAGTGCTTAAATCCCAACTAAACCAAACGTAGTGCATTAAAAATAATTAGGAAACTTTTGAGGAAACATGTCATCTTTTCAAGAGAAAGAAATAATAATGTATAAGGCTCTATTTCATGGTCATCGACAAAGATTTTTTTTATCAGTAATACATGAATTCTTCAGCTTCATGGTTTCTTTTAAAAACTTAAGTTACCAAGCTATATGATATTAGAGTATTATGGAAGAAATGAAAGCCAACTTTTACTAATCTGCTCAACATATGCTGAGAGAAGGTGGTGTAACAGAACATGTTATGCCCTTTGCAGATAAGTATATATTTCAGGAATTATGACATCCTCGTTCTTCAAAGCTAGTCTAACCAATGTTGTATGCACGTCATGTGTCAATAAAGATGTATGCCATAATAATGTATGATGTTTGAATACCTTGTAAGTTAAAGTATGGGCTAGCAACACAATTCTTTCTCCTGTACATCAAATAATCATAAATTTTCAATCAAACTATAATAGATTGTCATCTTTTACTAAAAGTAAGAAAGACTGTTGAAAGAAATTACTACTTTTATCAATAAAGTTAAAAATGCTGACGAATTTAATAAACTTTTTGACTCTATTGTAAATTATCTTATTATAAAAGAGAACTTGACAAATAAAATTTTCAACAGGTTGGGCAATAGCCCTTAAACATGTTTTCCCGAGGAACAATCGGTGCTAAATTACCCGATCCTTCACTACTCACATTGCTTTGCATCTCCTCACTTTGTACTCTCTTCTGCATCCCAAAAAATTACAATTAATGGTTAACTTTCTTTGTCCTCAAACTATAAGCTGAAAGCGAGTAGAATAATAAAAATTGTGCATTCTTTTATGAGGTTCAAATCGCAGCATTCTGCTTTACCTTTGCGAGTAAACAGAGTTTGACCCACTCTAAGTTTCGATCACTGTATTTTAACATAGTCAGTTTAAGACATTGGAGTAAAATAAATCTAAGATATTCAGTTTTCATGAATATTGACTGCAAGGTCAATAGATTAAGAATTGTTAATTCATTTTAACACTATCGAACATTGATGAGTTTGTATGTGAATACCTTCAAACACATCGTCATCTTCATTTTCATCATGAATTTGTACGTTGGATTGCATATGACCTTGATGCATAAATTAAAAATTAATAAACTTGTATGTATGACTATGAGTTGCGGTGTTCTTTAAATGACATACCTGATATATCACCATCAATATTGACATCTTCAAATTGCAAAAAGAAATATTAATAGTTAGCTTTTTTTCAATTTCATATTCATCAAAAAGTATAAGTTTATTGCAATACTGAGTTTGAAATAATAAAGGTTTGTTTAACATAATGAAAATATTAAAAGTAGAACCAAAAGAAGAAACTCATACAGAACTATAATTCAAAAACTATAACAAACATGTTGTAGTTAATAAAATAAATAGAATCAAATAAATGGCAGCAAATTAAATTAAATTTTTTAAATTATTTTGTTGGCCAGAATGTTCGGCGTATAAGGTATAAATATATAAATTAATAACTTCACTATTTTTGTCGACATTTATTTTAGCCGCACAAAATATTGACTTCCTCAAATTTTAAAAATAAGTTATAATAAATTAAACATAAATATTTACCTTGAAATAATGGTATCTCATTTAAATCTGGTAGAAGATGTTCTTTCTGCAAATTTGAACTCGACAAACCATACTGCAAATGATGCTCTTGCATTGAATTTGGATATTGTGCTTGGAAATGAGACGATGAAACTTGTCCACAACTCTTTATGGGAGTACTACGAAATCGAGGAAAATTTAGACGATTTGTTATGTCCGTTAATGATTTTTTTGTTTTCGTTTTTTGAGAAGCATTCCCTATGATAGTAGTATCAACAAATTTTGTAAACCATAAAATAAAAACAAAAAATTAATTGTTAAAGTGGAAAAAGATAGGACAACTATCAAACCAATATTTATATCCTATAATTCTATATAAAAGAAGTTAATAGGTAGCATTTTTTATATTTCATGTTGGTCAAGAAAAAGTATAAGTTTATTGCAATATTGACCTTGAAAAAATAACTCTATAGCTGCGTTTAGCATTTTACATCTGGATTTTGGTGTTACAACAGTATCACAATTACTTTCAACATCATTCCATTAAGTTAAACTAAAGGTAGTATTTTAGCAAACTTATGGAATTAAAGATTACTCATTATGTGTTTCTTATGTGTAGGAATGAGTTTGGATGATAAATGATCAAAAGATGACAATTCGACACAAAAAGAAGAAATTAAAGGATTGGGAGCTCGTCTATTCTCGTGCGTGGCACGAAGTCGGACGCGAAAAAGGAGAAAAATTAAGGCACAAAACAACGAAGCGAAGCAAAGGCACGGAGCGTTTCGCGAAATGGAAGAATTTCAAAAGCTGCATCCGCGTCTGCCCTCGCGTCTAGACGCAGCGTCTGCCCTCGCGTCTAGACGCGGACTTTGACGCGGATGCAGCTTTTGAAATTCTTCCATTTCACGAAGCGCTCCGTGCCTTTGCTTCGCTTCGCTTCGCTATTTTGGTGCCTTAATTTTTCTCCTTTTTTCGCGTCCGACTTCGTGCCACGCACGAGAATAGACGAGCTCCCAATCCTTTAATGTCACGACCTGGATTTTCCACCCTCGGGAGTTGTGATGGCACCTACTAATGGGAGCTAGGCAAGCAAAATTTAATTACTTTTTCATTAATAACATAATTCCTTTTAACAATTATCGGCAATAATACAAAAGCAACAAAATTAAATAATAGGCGGAAGTCTTAGCATTTTATAAAAAAAAATTGAATAGAATTGCGGAAAATTTCAACCAAGGCCTCTACCAAAGACTGGTGTCACAGTTTCTCAGACGGTCTAAGAATACTACACATAAAGGTCTGAAAGAAATAAACTCGACACTGTCTCCAAAATTACATGAAAGAAACAGGAATATAGATGAAGGGAGATGCCAGGGCCTGCGAACGCCTGCAAGGCTACCTCGGGTCTCACTGGACTGAA